ATTGTCGGCATAAACCGGTCCGTGGCGCAAAAAAGGTTGGAGACCGCTGACTTAAACCCCTTTCATATTTCTGCTCTTTTATCACATTTCACAAGCAAAATGTGATGTTGATACTGCAGATTTTTAAAGTCCCCTTTCACATCTTAAATTGTGAAAATGTAAAATTATTTTTTTAGCTATTGGATATTCTATGGATTGATGACATCAGAAAATCTAGAGGATCAGTGATAATCAATACATTTTCAGCTGCTGCTGACACAAATATGAGAATCCTGTGCACACAGAATAATAGCTCAGTGTTATTTGGACATTTCACCTATAATTATACAGTTTCAAAGATTCAGCTGTACGCAAATGTGTGAAAACATAAAATCCCTTTAGAAACGTAAGACAGTACAAACATTTTATTACCAGCCGTACTTTAGTTTGTCTAGTGTCCTAAACTATATAAACTATTCTAGGGTGACCAACCGTCCTCTTTTTCTGCACTTGTTGATTTGTAAATGACATTTTTCTATTTCACCATTCATTAACAGCACAGAGGTGTTGTTTAAATATGTTAAAGTTTTCTTTAAACAAACAGTATTATTAAAGTTCTTCATGACCGGGCCAAGTGTCCTATTTTTTGGTCACCCTAAACTTTTCTGACAAAAGAATTTAAAATTCTATTAACTCTAAAAAATTCACTGTTTTGCTGGGAATCCTGAAAATAAGTGTTGAATCTTAAAAAAATTATACAATACATTTATAAAGACATTTAATTTAAAAACCACAATCCAGTAGGATTTCACTAGTGCTCCTCCTACCTCGTGTGTGTGAAACTGCTCCTTAACCTCCTCCACATGGTTGGAGATAGGAGCCTGGCCCTGGAGACCATCTTCAGCAGACAGAAGCCACGTCAAGACCTTAAAAGTTACATTTAATTAACATAACAATAGCATAAATAATCTTTTTGTTTATCTTTCATTTTCTCCCTCTAGGGGTTGCTATATCAGATCTTCTTCCATCACACCAACCCTCTGCATTTACTCTTTCACTACATGCATGAACTTTCTCTCTGGTCTTCCTCTTTTCCTGCTGCCCGAAACCCCATTTTTAAACATCATTTGTCCGATCGATCCATCTGTACTATTGGGTTGAAATCAGAACTCTTCTACACTCACTGGCACATGTCTTTATGGACCTTGCTTTGTGCACTGGTGAGCAGTCATGTTGGAACAGGAAATCCTTGCCACAAAGTTGAGAGCATGAAACTGTCCACAATGTCTTTCATTGAAAATAGGGCGCCGAGTCCATAATCTGCCACCAAACTTGGCACGATGCAGTTAGACAAGAACCGTTCTCCTGGCAACCACCAAACCTCATCTGTTCATGTGATTTGTCACTCCAGAAAACACAGGTAATGGTCTGTATTTGTAAAGCGCTTTACTTGGTCCTAAGGACCCCAAAGCACTTTACACTATACACAATCATCCACCCATTCACACACTGGTGATGGCAGCTGCAGTGTAGTGCACTGACAGACCACGACCAGTAGGTGGTCTTGCCCAAAGACACAAATACCGAGACTGTTGGAGCCGGGGCTCGAACCGGCAACCTTCCGATTACAAGACGAACGCCCAACTCTTGAGCCACGATCGCCCTTTTCCACTGTCCAGTGGCAGCGTGCTTTATACTATCCATAAGACACTTTGCATTGGGCTTGGTGATATAATGCTTGAACACAGCTCCATAAAGATCTCTACGCACTATTCTTTAGCTACTCTGAAAGCCACATGAAGTATGGAGATCTGTAGCAATCAACTCTGCAGAAAGTTGGCGACCTCTCTGGACTATGTACCTCAGCATCCACTGGAAAGTTTAGTAGAGAACAGGTGGCATCCTATCATGGTACCGCAATGAAAGTCACTGATTTCCTGAAAGCGACTCATTCTTCCACAAATGTTTGTAGAAACAGTCTGCGTTTAAAATGCCCTGCCCGGCGACAGTGTGAAGAAACATTTCTTATACAAGGATCACTGGGAGGAAGGTGGTGACTCACACACAGACACACCCACGCACACACAATATTTGCTTCTGTACATTAAATGTTTCATAAAGCAGATAAAAGTCCTTTATCATCACCACATTGTCTCACCTCCTCCAGTGCAGCCTGGTAGCTCTCCAGGCTGGTGCTTCCTGCAGGCAGAGGACTGAGACGCTGCTGCAGCTCCTCTTGGCCGGGATCCAGGAACTAAACAAGGCGGCAACAGGTTAGAGATAACAGGCAGAGACAGTCAGAGGGTGGAGATGACGTGTGGAGAAACAGAAGAATGGAGGGCACCAGGGTTAAGAAGTCGAGGGGAAAAGAGGACAGACAGAGATGATAAGACAAGCAGAATGTCAAAAATCAGGAGGGGTGAGCAGGGAGGGATCGGGACGAGTAGAAAATATTAAAGGCAACATGTGAAAGAAATGTGGGAGGCGATAAAGAGAGATAAGGAGAAGCCTCCGAGTGTCAGATATTAATGATGATGATGATGACAAGCAGTTTTAAACTTTCTCCAAACTTAACTCGTCCTC